CAAATTACATGCATCGTGAAACGTGACTTTGTAACACTTAAGTGAGTATACATGGCATAGCTTCAGGGAAAAATTTTACTAATATTGTTTTTTTTAAGTACTTACAAAATATTTTTAAGTGTGGGAGACCCATGCTTGGCAGGAATGGGCCGGCTCGACCTGAGTGATACCACGGCCTCACAGAAAACCAACGTGAAGCAACGCTTGCGTTGTGTTTCGTCGTGTGAGTGAGACCCAATTTTGTCATACTTACCGCATTTTGTGTATAATCCAGTATTGTAAGCATGACGAGTTACACTCCAGATCTTGGCAAAGACACAATATTCAACATTACCTCCTAGAACAACGTTGATTGTTAAATATAAACAAATAATTTGTATTTAACAGTTATCTCACTTCCTACTATATTGTATCAACAACGTAATATATATTTTCATCTCATTCTGTTTGTTTGTGTTTCCTAATTTATACGTTACAGGTTTTGCTCCTTTTGGAACCACATCATTTAAGATGAAGCGTATCGATGTTCGTCAAATTTATCATCATATAAATCAGAGGAGGAACTTTAGAGGGAATCAATATTTTACGAGCTATTTTCGTGGTAAAGTTGTGCTCGTATAAAGATGGATTTTTGTGTCTTCGTACTTCAGACGTGGATTAATGTCGAGATAGGGAGATAATTGGGATTATAACATTGATGGCCGACGTGACGATTATGAACGAACATTCCCTTAACTTATTACTTCATTATCAGTAACACTTATCTTTGCAACAGAAATCTTCTTTATTTATAGTACTCAGTATTAGTAAAGTGGTTTATTCGCCTGGAAATAGCATTTTATCGTTAAAGTGACATTTAGATATAATATAAAAAAAGAAAATTAGTGCAAGTAAAAAGTAATCATCAAACGCGACAAAAATAGGTACGATACATTCGTCAATTTATTCAACAACTACATAATTCTAACGTCGAAAGTAAAGTCATTCAGCGACATATATTTTTCCAAAAACTGAACACATAGTATGCTAAGTACTTAATTATTACACCTTTTTAGACTTCATATGTCTATTAAGACATATCGTTATGCCTGCTTTCCATTGCGTAATTGTGGTAGGCAGAGACGCCAACCGACACTATTCTGGCATATATCTCTTTCGCTTCATCTACATTAATCAATCTATCCATGCATGCACGTCGATTAATTAGACCATTTGTCAACAATTGCCCATATGATTGAAGTATGTCCGTCTAGGACGCCCTCTACCGACTTTCTCAGTCATGCTCGCTATATACACCTCTTTTGTATATCGCCTACCATCCATCTTTTCAACAATGTTCTTTATTTAATATTTACAAAATACAAATATAATTTACGTGCCCGTAATAAACATACGCATTCCGAAATATTATGTTCACATCTTTCCGTCGCGGTCGCTATGATTAATTGCCCGGATTAGCTATGAAATATTAAAGGCATAATTTCCTTACTTATCTTCACACCACGTTAGCTTACGTACGTGGCATTGTTTTAGACAAATGACAAAGAAATGAATTAAATAAACGTTAAGTACAGTAAAACAAACCTTTATTTGCCAATTTTGTGTTTTTCTTAGGGCGGCAGGCAAGATATAGGTACACTAGATATTCACTGAATATGTTGAATACTAGATCCTTTTCCCTTTAAGCTAGACTTATTCCTAGGCTTTAGAGGTTAAAGTAAACAATAAACATGTACAATTCCAACGTCTCAAATATTCAGGTCAAAAATGGTTGCCTGGAAGAGATTGCTGCTTGAGACAAAGTCGCTTACTATACAACAGATGCTGTAGATGTTTACGTTTGTACCTAATATAACTTTAAATGGTGTGTTATAGAAAATAGTTAATCTATTTATTTATTTATCGAATGTCGTAGTGGCCCGGAGGTTAAAGACGCCCGCTTCTCATGCCTGATGGCGCGAGTTCGAAACCTACCAACGGCAAGTACCAATGTGACATTTTCCATGTTATATATACGTACTTTCTAAGATTATTTAGACACCACTGACAAACGATGATGGAAAACATCGTGAGGAAACTTGGACTTATAATTTCCAATTATAAGTTTAATACGCTAATCAGCATTGAGCAAGCGTGGCGATTAATGTTTAAACCCTCTCCGTCTGAAAAGAGACCTTTGGTCAGCAGTGGCCACTTATAGGCTGTTGAAGTGATTTATTTATCTATAGAGTGTTTGAAATTGGTGTAATATAAAAGTACGTGTATTATTTTAAAGAAATATTTTTAAGAATAAAATGTATAGAGCGATCCCACAAATACCCGCAGTTTATCTTTAACAACTCAACAAAACCTGCGTGTTCCCACAGTTTGCCGCCAAGTAACATGGTTTACACCACAGAACAGTTATATACATAGGTACAGGAAAAAATATTGTGTTGTAAAAACATTATTTTAATTGCACTATTCGTTACCACCTCGACATTGGAATGATCTGCTTGTTTATTTTATACATAAATATAAGGTGGTTGAACTCTCTTATAATAAGAAGTGAATTGAAATTTACTTTTGTATCTCTCATGTGCTACATACTAAGTTTCACACAACTCACAATTGATTTGATTGGAAACCAGGAATTAAAAAATGGTGTGCTGTACCCGAAATTTAATGTATTCACTTTCAATGTTCGTTATTATTTGTAGGTCTTGCTTAGTAATTTTAATTCAAGGGGCTAGTAAGTCCCATGTCCGTATAGCAGTGGGAGGCAGATAGAAATCGTTCCATGTAAAATTCGAATCTGTTAGAGCTCAATGCCGACTCCAATCTATTTAGGAAAAGGTCACGAGAAACAGCACGCTGGACTGGTACGAATTACTAAGTGTATAGAGAATAACAACAAAACAAAAATATTAATTTAATTCATACTGCTTGCAGTAATTTATCATGCAATCTACTTCTATCAATATCGATAAATCGACTGACCCATCAATCAGTCGTCAACTCGAGTTGTGCTCTCCCAAACCTTACATACATCTTATGGTGTAGTTTCTTCGAGGCTATCATTGAAGAAAATGTTTAACGAAATCCATTAAACAGTTATTATGAAGGAATATTTGTTCTTAGACTAGACAAATAAATGCTCACGCATACTTTTTTTTTACAAAAATCAGATGAATGATATTACCTCTTACTCAAAAGTATGTAGTTCATTAATACTTACCGAATTGAACCTGAGTCAGCGCTGTAAAATTATAACTGTCCGTACCTTTACTAGTATTTCTGAATACCACATAAAACTCACACCTGGGCAATAAAACTATCATTACGCATATAACGCGATGTACGTATTTGTTATTAACCCTAGTTCACCATAATTCTTCCTTCTGGGATGAATCACTCGTATCCCACTAATTGAAAGTAAACTTTAACGTGATACGTTCCAGTAGACTGGCAGGAAATTACTATTAGTAGTAATATATAATTGAATATATTGTCATTCTAATATATTCAATTATTCGTCTGATGTGTGACAAAGACCTGCATGATAAGGTTATCCAATTGGGAAATATGGAACAGTGAGATCGAATCTGGTTTGGTTTTGACAAAGCATCACACAATTTTGGTTCTAAAACCTCATGTCATATGTGATAGAACCGCTCTAGAGCCTAATTTAGACCTGCAATAATTCTCGTGTAGACGATATTTGTAGTGCAGATAATATTTGGACATATTTTGAGACTCAAAACATTACACTGATACTTAATTAAATGTATATTGAATAAGTATTACTGACTGATTGATTGATTCTACGTGAGATGCAAGTATTTATTTTCCAATCGTCATGCATTTGTCAGTTGACAAAAGCGTACGCATGACGTGGGTTACGTCGATATTAGGCCTTAATCTTAAGCACTATCATAATCCCGTTACCTATCGCCTCTACACGCAATTGCAATGAACGTTTTGATTCTGGCTTTAACTATCACTCGTCATATTTTTCATACATCAATACCACACCAATATCAATCCATTCGTGTCTGTGGCTCCGAAAGCAGTAGTTCTGTATCTAAAGTATTTTACGCTAGTTAACAATATTTTTTATAATATCTTGTGGTTTATATCGACGTATATATAATTGGTTCTATAAACTAAAAACCATTTTAAAACTAAAGGTTAGGTGTTTGATTATTCAGCAATGAACATATTTGTGCAGGTCATTACGAATAATTATATTACTTTAGTCACTTATTCACAAACCAGCTCAATTAAACTGTAGTCCCGAAGAAACATCATTAATCAGACCATTTGTAATCACTGCATGAATTTCCACAAGCATGTATTTTATTAGAGACATCTAAAACTAATACATATTCCAAATAGTTTATCACTGTAACTGACCTTTGTCAGACTAATAACGTTGTAGTCCCAATACCTTCTTTTTCTTTCAGAATATTTAATAATAATTAATTAATTAATATTCATTGTTACCACTTCAATTTTCAATTAACATTGCTATTTACTAAATTGTGACACGACTGTGTCTGCCATTAACATTAGATATTTTTATCAAAGTACATTTGTCGTTTGAAGATAAAAATATGTCAAGTGCACGCTATCGAGTATCATGGATCCTGTACATTACAAACAGCACAAATTATTATGAAATCTGACACACATGATTTGTATATCAATAGTAGATATATATTTATAGCAGTTCGTGTCTGCACAAAGATAATTTTAATCGGAATTCTATCAAAACTATAACACACGTTGTGGTTGTATAAACATTTCATTTTCGCATCAATCAGACAAGAACCTCTACTTATATATAAAACATATGTCAGAGCAAGCCAGCTGACGGACGTGACGAGAATGTAAAACGTTTTTTCTTGCCACTGTGGAACCCTGAAAACAAAGATTTTATCTTACCACATATATCAATAGCGATCAGTGTAAAGGCTGTGAACTAAGATAAACGAATTTATCTTTATCTTTTGTTTCAGATGTTGCCGTTGATGAGAACATAAAAATGTGTATCTACATTCAAAGATCACTTACGTAGGCGTGCAAATATTTCAAAATAACATGTTCGATAGTCATTAAATATGTCAACATCAACGTCAACGATGCAGAATTCTACGGGCAAAACTGACTACAAGAATGATCCGAAGTACCAGTGGTTCGCTAACATGCGAAGAAAATGCTATCGTGAGAACACCACACATAGCACCATCCTCAACGAAGATAACCTAGGTAAGTGAGATCTGTGACTTTTTTAGTTCTGTCTTTCACGTCCCTATGGTTATAATTTAATACTTGTGCTAAATCATATTATTGTGTTGTCGCAGGTCAATCGTCAATTTATTAGTAGATCTTGCTTTGCGTTTCTCATTATTATTTATTCGTGTTGCGTCAAAACTATTATCTATTATTAGTTTCTCTAGTTATTTCAATTAAGTAGTTAATAAAGATTATCTGCTTTCATTGCAAAATACTTTGATTCTATTTGGTTCGTTCTTTATTCATAGCAACACATTTTGTTATTTGTTGTTGTTGTGAAACATTTCCTAGGCTTTGCTTAAAGAAATGTGAAAATGTATGACATTTGTAAAACATTTATTTTAGGCGCTTCCGCCCTTTTTGCAACTCATTAAAACTGGATATACCTAATCATGAAGATGACCGTTCCTTTAAAAAACATCCATTTAATTTGGTCGACTTATCTTGTAGCAGTTCTCTGCGTAAAGTTATGCACAAACACGTCCTGAAAGATTACGAAATATCATGTTTTTGTTCTCTATTTCTTTATTTATTCAGTAATTTTCTCATGTTTATACAATGAAACCGATTCCACTATTTATTTTGATTGCGTTCTGTATAGTAGTAAAATATTGTCATGCGAATGACGCATTTTATATTTTTCACTATATAAATATGTTATGAGATTTGTGAGTTGCCAATATTAGGTATATGTTTTAGGTTGACACAGTTCTAGTGTATTATAATATTATTAAAATTTGTTTTTCTTGTACACATCTCTAGCTATTTTTCTTTATAGCAACCAAACAGGTTTTATCAGCTGTAAAGTAGTATCAATTACAATTATATCACCAAGGTAATAATTATTGCTTAGCTTAAAAACAAATAATGTCGATTTTCCATTATTATACACATTAGTTACAAATACCTCGTTGGTCGAGTGGTCGCAAATGCAACTGCTGGGTAAGAGGTCTCGGGTTCGATTCCCGGGTCAGACAAAGTATTAATGGGTTTAAAAAAATCTCAGTAGCACAGAATCTGGAATTGTGCTCGGTATATGGCAATAGGCTCACCCCCAATTACATGGGACTCATAACACAAATAGTGAAAAGGGGTGTTACATTGTACAATGGCATTAAGTGCCGTAATGTGCACTTCTGCCTCCCCCTCCGGGAATAAAAGGCGTGATGTTATGTTAGTTAATGAAGACTATTCTACACACTTTTACATCACAATACTGTCACTTGAGCGCGCTTAAACGTCCTCAGTAAATTTAAGAACATCAAGGAAAGCGACTTAGTATAATTGGATTGAATTTTACCAACGAATAGATCAAATACATACATTAGTACCCAACTTGTATCTTTTTTGATTTATTATAATGTATAAAAGTAGGGTAGGTTAGTAAACGATGTGGGGGCATTTTTGACGCATATGAAACCACTAGATCAAAAAAGAAAAGAGATTATACAGACGTCAGGTGTATCACCCTTTGTAATTCAATTTTTTGTTCGAACAGATAGTGATCTCTGGTGCCCACGGACGTTTGACGGGTTTGCCTGCTGGGATGAGACTCCCGCTGCAACCACTGCATACCAGCCGTGCCCCCAATTCATCATCGGCTTTGACCCCAGGCGTTACGCTTACAAGACGTATGTAAATCTTATCTAATTTATCACATCGCACATATATCTATACATGGATTGTGTATTATCGTCTGTATGGCAGTGCATTGCAGACTGTATTCATGACTCATTCAGGAAACATTAACAAATGTATGTTCTACACGTAAATGCACTTGTAAAGATTGTTAAGAAACCATCGGATGACATTTGTAGACGTTTTAGGAAACTACATAATATTTTTTTTCTTGTATTGAAGACGAAGAAGATAATAGTAATGTTGGAACTCGATATATTATTTATTATCCACATTTACTTTGTACATAATCTTGTAAACTCTTATAAAATGTCTTAATTTATCTAACAAGAAGTATTTTTTTGATTTAATTCTTTTATAAATTAGGTACATTTAAAAATACCGACCTCAACCACCGCTTTTTGTTTTGAAGAATGAATTTCAAGAAAAACCTTCTCCTAAGTGTAACCAACGCGGGACGATCTCCGGCCACCGTAAGCGCGGGCCTGCGGACGGCGACCGCGGGTGGCTCGCCATCCGCAAGCCCAATACGGCCGATGCCGATTCAGAGTCGCGGAGAACCTAACGGGTAACCGGGGCTCCGGCTCGACATGCAGAAGAAGGATCGGCGTGGTTTTTAGTCAGTAAGAGTCTGACACTACCTCCCGCCTCACCCAGGCGGGAGCAGTCGATGATTTGCCACCCTTAAAAAAAAAAAAGTGTAACAAACACTTTTCTGAAAACAGCATCAAAATCGGTTCATCCAATCGCAAGAACACACATACATACAATAAATACAGGTCAAACAGAGAACCTCTTTTTTGAAGTCAGCTAATAACAAAACGTTACTGACCATTTGCTCATTTTGCTCTAAGCGACCCACTTCGTGCAAAATTCGAGCTCTTCCCCTTCCGTTCTCATTTACTCCCCGAGTTACCCTACCCCATTCATTGTTGCCTTAAGTTACCATTCCCAAGCAATGTCGGTTACATTGATTTTTTATCAACCCCTGATCACATCTTCCTTACAAAGTGAAATGAGGAAAGTGGAATAAAAGTATAAATGATATTTTTAATTCAGAACTTTGAAATCACCACGGTAAGGCTGACATTTTATTGCTTGCAAATAATTAATTGAACAAAAGTTGATAGCAAGATGCCTTTCAATAGCCCCTGACTACCTAATCAATCAAAAGTAGGCGTTATCCAAAAGTTTAAACAATAAAATGACACACGTCAAAGAAGAATACGATATAGCAATTAATATTTTTAGGGGTAAAATTTGTATTAAAAGATACCAAAAGATATCCATCAAAAATTTTGTTAATCGACTATAGATATTTTACTAGATATAATAAAGGTAGAGGAATTATTATCATTATTATGTTAAATTATCGTGGAACTACATACGACATAAGCTTGACAAACAGATTAATGGTAGCATTATATCCATATTAGAGCATGTCTGTTTGTACAAGTCCCGAAATTAATTAACATTGGACTGATTCACGTTCAACCACGCAAGCAACTCTTGCTACTAACAGAATAAGCTCAATCGGCATCCAGGGGCCACTTATTGTCCAACGAAATAGTCAAAATGTATATTTATAAATTGTAATAAAATTAACTACTACCTATTTTTAAAAAAATATTCCAAAATATGAAAATTAAAAACGGAAACGTCTTAAAATATCCTTCCTGATATTCTGTACTGGAGTCGCCTATTCAACCATCCTGACTTTACCATTCAACCGACCTACTATCGTTATTTAACCATAAATCTTGATCCAAACATTGTACAGTTTAAATATAAAGAACATTATCTAAAATATCCTGGTTATCTAGCTCGAAAGTAGTGCTCCCAACCTCTTAAAATAAATCAAGCTATTCAAGATCCCAAGTTTATTTAATAGATATTGCTAAATGCCATTGGAAAACCAAATGGTCCATTTAAAACGAAAATGTATTTGTGAGTTTAGAACGAATATGATAAATGGAATGATAAATTATCTTTAATGCAAATGGAATAAAATTTAGAATCGATTGAATTACTTTGAATCTGATGGCCTACGACTTTGGTTCTGTTTCCTTAGGAAACAAAACACAATGACCTTGGCTGTTTACTGCAATTTTCTTATCTTTTAGTAATGCGATTACTGACAAGGTCCTCTGGTCGATGTCTTATGCGTGAGTTTAAATCGAATAGACATAATTGAATAGTCATAGCATCGACTCGTTTGCCAAAACTATAACGACAAGTATGTCTCCTAACAAATTTTGCAAAAGGGTCGAAGTAGGTCCATGCGTGTGCTATTAATACACCCCTGTCTACCAGTCTGGCCCTATAGAGAACAATAAACAGAAGTTGGTATATGTTTATGAAGAAGGAAAAACCTACACTTAATTTTGGTAAGAAAACTGCAAGTGTTTTCGAAAAGATTCGAGGAAATTCCGACACAACTTGTGAAGTATAAACACTACGTAACATCTGCAGGACTTTTAGGATGTTTTCTTTATCTTGGTCTGAACTATGGGTGCCCAGAAGGATGAAACTAATCTCTCATAAATCTTCTCCTAAATTTGAGGTTCGTAACGATGTTTATATATCCGTTAGTCAACCAAGAAGTTTGGCTCCGATGTAGGTAAAAAATTTAGAATTGTTTATTCATAACATAACATAACATCACGCCTTTTATCCCCGAAGGGGTAGGCAGAGGTGCACACAGAAGTAACACCCACTTTTCACTATTTATGTTATGAGTCCCATGTAATAGGAGGTAAGCCTATTGCCATATACCGGGCACATTTCCAGACTCCGTGCTACTACTGAGATTTAAAAAAAAAACCCCGGTAATACTTTGCCCGACCCGGGAATCGAACCCAAGACCCCTTGCCCCGCAGACGCACTTGCGACCACTCGGCCATCGAGGCAGTCAATTGTTTATTCGTGTCTGTTATTTTATGTTATGATTGAGCCTATTGTAGTAATTCAAATTCTTATTCCTACCCATTGGGGAGTCGGTGGAATATTACTTTTTATGCCCCTTCAGTTAGTCAATATGTCACCGACAATTCATTGCAATTCCCTGTTGGATTATGGGCGTCTCCTATCCAAGAGAATTTGCCATTATCTTCACGCCTTCCATACATACTAAAAATCAGCAATTGAACTACTAGAACTATCATAATAATTATTATTACATTTCACAATTTAGTGTTGTTTGGTCTCTTCAGCTCTCGATAAACATCAGTATTGACACGACGAACTGAAAACTTGGTTACACAGCTCTTACGTTATTAATTTGACTATTTGTTTTCATTGTTAATGGAAACCATTATGAATTATTTTGCTTAATTAATCGTACCCGAACGTATCGCGAATTTCGTATTTGGCAATTATCAGCAGTTCTCTGTTGAATATAGGTCTACCTCAAGAGGCCTTATTTACTATTTATTTCCCTAATGTAGGTACCAACGTCTTGTACTTTTTTCTCCATTTTACGCCAATCTTGTCAAGTAGCCCAATTACGGAGCACACTCACAATCAGAAAAGCTTTTATTTCGACTAATTGTACTAAAATAGCCGCAGCGAGTGGCTATACTTAAATGTGCGTCCGACTACAGGGACAACCATATTACCGACTGCCTTACATTGTCACAATACCATAGAGTGCTGTTCTTGTACATTGCAAATTGATGAAAAAAAAACTTACGCATTCGAATTCCCAGCAGCGTGTGTCTTTCTGTACAACAATGCCAAATATATAGATAGAACTAGACATGGAACCCATCATTATTCAACGGGTTTGATTTAAATCACCTAAAGAAGCAAAAATAATCGTCTATAGCTTCTTACTGTTTGTTTAAAAAACAGATTTATTAGGCACTCGGCCGGGCGAGTGGTTCAATCTATTTGTTTAACGTGCCTGGCTTCACTCCCGCCAGTAGCTATTACTGCCACAACAAGTACATACGGTAGCGACGATAATACTATATGAAACTTAAATACTCTTCCTTCAAAGCGACAACCGCGGCTCGCTAATGTAAACATTTAGTTACTCGTAAAACTTGACCTCAAAGTATACGTTTCGCCTTTTCATCAGATTTAAAAGTAAACAAAGCTGAATTTAAAGTAATAAAGATAAAAAGGGAAGGAACTGTAGAATAAATATCGACAGATAGACAAATATACCGTGAAATTGACTTGCAGAAAGGGTCTTAGTGGAACTATAAAGTAACAGATAAAAACTACGAATGCAAAGTACCATGATGTTCATAAAGAAAATTGTATTTTGCATAGATGACCGTGGGTTGGATAATTCATAGACTACCTGACACTTTGTACCACACGCGTGCTTCCTACAAACACTCTCTTATAAACGCAACACTTTTATTCGTTGATTCATTGGAATATAAAACTTTGTTAATCGTCGGGAGAAACATAAACTTTGGCAATCTTGCGTCCAACGTTTATTTGTCTATTCGCCTGAAACTTCGTAATCAAACTTCTAAACCGATTTGAACAATATTTTCTCATTAGGACAATTTTGAAACTTTAATATAGAACTGTAGAACTACAAAGGTGCTACTTTGGAACCGCCTGAAAGTATAATTCTTTTAGATATCCACATTTCAACAATATTTATGCTCTTTCACGGAACCGAGATGTAAGAGACCATATTTATACCTTATAACTGTTTTAAAGTATCTGAAGGACTCACTCTTAAACGATTTATTAAAGTCCGATCAGCAATTCAAGTGATTAATGTTTTCCACCACACCCACAGACGTACTAAAAACAAACTTTTCAGCTTTTTTACTACTACGATTTAGTAAAGCCGTTAAAAACACTGATCGTTGTACGTTTACGTAAACAATTAAACAATGACTGCACAAGTACTCTCAAGCCATTAGCCAAAATATTCGCCATGGATAGTTCCATTACATAAAACGATAAAAGACATCTAAAAGTGCCAAGTTCGGATTCTCACACAATACAGTTAGGCCACTTCAAA